AGCCCGGCCCAGGTAAGCGGCAGCCCCTGCGGTGCTTTACTGCAGGGAGCCTGGGGAGGGACAGGGGACAGCCGGGTCCCCTCCCCGGGGATGGGGCTGCGGGATGCTTGGGGTGCCTGGTGTGCATGAGGGGGTGCAGGGGGGGTGTTGTGAGGAACCGGTTTATGTTCACCCCCAGGGCAGGGTATCGTGTACCCAATCCTTTCTGTGAGCTGGGGGGATGCACACGTGACCTTCAGTCCCCCTGTGTGTCCGTGAGGGTGCTGAGGCTGTGACCCTGCTGTGCTACCACGGGTATGCCTCAGTTTCCCTGGCTGCTGCAATGGTCTGGAGGGGAGAGGACTTGTGTTATCCCCACCATCGCTGTCTCCTTGCCCAGATGAACGCCTCACCCTGTTGCTGAACCCCTCCTTTTGTTGCCTTCCCCCCAGCTTCTCCGTTTCCTACCCCCTCACTGAGTCCCCCACCCCCACCCCAGGCCTCTTCCCCCACCACTGACGGCCAAACCCCAGGCACCTGGCGGCTCCATGGCAGCCCCATTCCCCTCCTGTCACTGCCAGCCTTGGGCTCACCAAGAGGCAGGGGATGGGCCCCCCCTCAAGCACACAGTGCTCTGCCTCCCCCCTTCCTAATATGGAAGCATCCCCACATCCTCCAGCACTTCTCAGCTTAATTGCAAAACACATATTTGGATTTCCATCTAAACCCCACTCCTGGGACTGCAAAAATCCCTACTCAAGAGTCAGAGCATCCTTGTTTACAGCAGCGAGCTAAGAAGGCAGACTGAGAAGAGCTGCAGAGCTGCAAGGCGAGTTGGAACCCCAGCAGCTGAGGCTCAGAGCAGTTTCCCTTCCCCAGGCCTGAGCACATTATGGGGCTGACAATCCTGCTCCAGATCTCTGCACCCTGCTGGTGTCTATCCACATTCCTGGCACATCCGCTGTACCTGTGCTGGCTGCAAGCTCCCCCGGAGAGAAACGCTTGTGTTATCTGCAAATGCCATGCATACTTCCAGAAATCTGAGCGATGCTTGTAAAATCCCTTAGAAGACTTTGATGGGTGTCCTGCGTGCTGAGGGAGATAACGCTGGGGAGAGGAGGAGGAATATTTCTGCAGAGCACACAAAATGTCAAGCTGATTGCTGCCAGGCCTTGGAGCAAAAAGCGTCGCCCTGGTGCTGCAACGTGGCAGCATTGGCAGCACGCAGCCCCATCCCAGCCAGATGGGCACCCTGCTGTCATCATATGGGACACGGGGCTCTTGTAGCATTCCTGGACCAATGAACCTCCTTTGCAAATGTTCCGGTCTGGAGGAAGCTGCAGATCTGCTCTCTGGACCCCCCAACCCATCCCTGCTGCCCCTGGACTTGGACAAGGCACTGCCACAGGCACATCCTGCACAGAGCACCTGTCAGAAACTTCCCACCATTACCATGCATCGCCCCAAGGATGTGCTGCCACTGTGTGCATTATCCCCAAACCAGCCCCACAGCACTGCCGTGTCTGAAACCCCACACAGAAGCACCCTGTGTACGAGGGCCTCCTGAGCCCCACGCCTGGGCAGGGTTGGGCTGTTTGCCCCAGGGTTCCCAGTCCAGCCACAGTGGTTTTGCTGGGGGAAACAGGACGCAGCCCTGCAATGAGCTGTTCTCAAGCTTAGCCTATGGCTTGGAAAGACCCAGGCTCACCTCCCTTCAGGCCTTAACTCAGTTTGATAATTGATGGGGTGGACACACAGCCAGGCATTCCCTGGATCGCTCACGCCTCTCCATGCTGCTCAGCCCTGAGCCTGGGGCTCTGCTCAGCTCCAGCTGCCAGTGGGAATCAGCAGCACCCACTGCCCAGAACTCTCCGAGCCCCATAGGGAAGCTTGGGGTTGGGGGGAGACCCCAGGCGCCTCGCCAGGTGCCCACATCTCCCCAGGCCACCGTCACCATTGTCACACTGTCACCACCCCCGAAGTGCAGCCCCCATCTCACCACCTCCCACTGCCCCCATCCCCATCTCCTCTATCCCACAGGGGTCGCTGCTTCTTTGTGGGGGAGGAAACTGCATCTCATTCCCTGTGCCATGAGCACTCAGAGGAACCCCAGTTCTGGTTCTGGGGCGTGGGGAGGGCAGCCAGCAGCATTTCATTTCCCTTCCAGTAAAGCATCGTGGAGAGCATGCTGGCTTTGCACATGGACCTGCCGTTGTGCTGGGGTATCTCATCCACCGTGCTTTGCCACGGCAGGAGCAGCACGAGGTGCTCATACCCATGCTGGGATACTGCTCCTTGGTGCTATAGGGATTCATGAGGTGGGACCCTGCTCTTAGCGCTGCTGTTCTGAGTCCATTTGTCTTCAGCTGGAGTGGTTTTCACATGGCATTGCATCATGGTGGCACTGGGGCAACCGGTGCTGCGCCCACCATCTGCAATTAGCAGCAATAGAGGTGAGGAAATCAGCTTCCTGCAGCTGAGCACACAAAGTGGGGCTGCTGAAATGCAGCCTGAATCCCTCCCAGTACAGCCCTATACCCACCCTTGGCCTCGTGTGCTTGCAGAAGGAAACCAAAATGCGGCATCTATTTCACATTACAGCTCCTCAGAAGGTGTTTTTCGACAAGCCAGGACTCTGCGTTTAATTGCAATAAAACCAGCTCAGACAATTGGCTCATTTTGAATTGCCAGGATTGCTCTGCTGTACTGATGGCCCTGCTGGGAGCCACCAAGGAGCTACAAGAGAACAGCACGCAGCAGATTGCATCCTGCCCTGCTCACGTGCTCCTGCAGATGAGGTCCTGGGGCTGCACTGGGGCTGGGATGCTTTGCAGAAGGGTTTGGCACCAAGGCAAATCCTGGCATGGCATCACTCTCAGCCCCACAGCAGGGCTCAGATCTGTCTCCTGCTTTGTCACAAACCCAAACCTTGGGGAAGGATGGGGACAGGGACATGAGTTCCATCCACGCTCTGCTCCCCTCCTTGCAGTGCATCTGCTGCAGTCCTGCTGTGGCAAAGGGCTCTGCAGCAAAAAAAAACCCTACACTGGGAAGCTTTGCAGTCCCTCCCAGCCCCACGTGCAGGTAACAGGATGGGGACACATGCAGACAGCTGCCACTGCATCTCGACCTGCTGCATAACTCAGGGCACCGCTCCATGGCCTACAGGCTCAGAGGTGATGCTGCAGCAAAGGTGAAGCAGTGCACTCCCATCTGCTGCTCTGCTCAGTGGCTGTAGCAAACCCACTAATGGTGAACGTGATTGTGTGATGCCACCCTCTCCGTCCCCATTTCCAGCATGGGGGATGCAGACTGGTTCAAGCAGCACCCTCTTGTGCAGCTGTGGGGATTCCCAGCTGCCTGCAGCAGCAGCAGTGCCAGCCCTCTGCATTGCAGCACCTCCTGCCTGCGTGGGGTCAGCGCCTGCATCCCAGCCCCCAGTACCTGCACAGGGACAGGGACCCACTGTAGCAGCAGGAGCTGTGTCTCAAGAGATGAGCTCTGCACTGAGCAGTCTGCTGGGGAGGATGGAGAGGAGCAGGGGGACCTGAGGCTGCGGGAGCAACCCAAGGACACACCAGCGTCTGCAGGGGTGTGAGCTCAGACAAACTTCACTGCTGCAGCTTGCAAAACCCTCTGGTGGCTTTGGGGTGGTTCAGGGCAGTGAAGCAGAGCCCCTCTGCTCAGGGTTCCTGAGTGACAGCACCCAGCTGGGGCTGGCAGCTCGCCCACACCATGCTCAGCCGCTGGGCATCAGCGCCAGCCGCCTCAATGCAAAGCGATGGGCTGCAGCGGAGGGGATGGTGGGGGCTGTGCTGCTGCCCTGGGTGGTGGGCATCGAACACAGGTCTGGCTGCACAGAGGGCACACACACACGTGCATGCATGTCTGCCTGCATGCATGTTTGTTTGTCCGGGTGCATGGCAGGAGAGCAGCAACAAGGCAGCAGCATTTGCTGGGAAAAAAAAAAAAAAAACCAAAGCTGCAGCTCGAACCCAAATAACAGCACCAAACGCTGAGCTGCAGCAAAGCCTTGCAGCACCCCACGGCCTGGGGAGCTCCATGCCTGTGGGTCCCATGGCACCCTCCCCTGCATCCCTAGCACCGCCTTGGGCTGTGTTCCCCTGGGGTTGCCTTTGCCCTGCATCCGTGACAAAACTCAGAGCCAAAGCCAAGGTGTGAACAAATCCCAACACCTCGGGGCACGCTGCGGCTGCTCAGGGAGGTGGGGGCTGTGATGCAGGCACCCCATGCACGTGGGTGGGTGCTGCACGCCACGGGCTGCAGGGGACAGTGCTGGCCACGCTCCGCACCGCCGCGCTCCCCATCCATCTGCATCTCTGCGGCGGAGCGAGGGACAGTCACACATTTATTTTTAACTGGCTGGGGAGGACGGGCAGGGATTGGTGGGTTTCTTGGTTATATCACTAAATCCCTGCGAGGCCCTGTTAGTTCCAGCACAGCGAGCCTGGCCGTGGCGCACCAGTAACCGTTTCAGCACTCGTTCCTCCATGCCCCATCCCAATGGGGCCCGATGCGCGCACAGATGGAGCAAGAGGGAACCCCACACCCTGCATCCCATGGGTGCACCCCAGGCCACCGCCCTATCCTGGGTGTGGGATGCGGCCCAGGTGTCTGGGTCTCCCGTTGCATCTCTGGCTGTGATGGTACGGGGATCACATCTGTATCCCCCCACCCCAGCACTTCTGTGTGGTTTGTGGCTGTGTTGTCCCCATGCTGGTGGCAGATGCCACGCAGGGCAAGCCCAGCACATCCCGTGGGGAGCAGTGTCCCACTGTTACCGTGATGTTCACAGTCCCCTCACCATCCCTGTGAAATGCCCACCCACCGACCCCATCCCCAGGTCCCCAAGCGATGCCCATCCACCAGCCCCATCTCCACATCCCCCAGCCCCACATGCAGCTCCGCATGGAGCAGCGAAGGGTTAAGCCATGCAGCAGCCCCCACGTGACGCTCCGGGGATGCCGTTTTTCTGTAGATCAGGACGGATTAGGCTGGAATATCAGGACGAGAATTTCTCCGGGCTGTGCTCCCCCCACTCCACGGCCCCCTGAGGATGCGCAGCTGCTGGGCCAGGGCCCCCCCTGGGTAAGGGCTCCCCGTGTTGCTCCCCTTGTTTCTCCCCATGTTTCTCCACCCCAGCAGAGCAGCCTTAGGGTTTTGGTGGCTCTGCGGCAGCTCTGCCTGACCAGACATTGCATAAGAAATCCTGGGGCTCGAGCAGGGCTTGGCTGCCTGCAGAGGGTTTGGATTTTGGATGGCACCTTAGGGGGAGATACGGGGGATGTAGGAAGGGAGACAGAAAGGGCACTGTCCCCATCCCCTGCAGCTGGATGCTCACCCTGCAGCACTGCAGGAGATGGGGATGGAGATGATGGGGATGGGAATTCTGACGGGGATGGGGATGGGAATGGGGTCCCTGCTGCCCACCCTGACCCCTCTGCTCTCCACAGTGCATGAGGCTGCTGCTTGCCCGAGAGCCCCCGAGCACCTGCACTGACGGCCGCGGCCGTGCCAGGAGCCATGTCAGGTTCCTACGACGAGTCGGCAGCAGCCGCCGAGGAGACGACCGACAGCTTCTGGGAGGTGAGCCCTCACCAAACCCTGTCCCTGCGATGTCCTGGTTTGCTGTCACCACCTGGCACTGCACCCTTGCCTTCTGAAGCCAGCTCAGCACCGGGGTCCCTGCTGCGGAGGCTGGGGGGGAGCCTGCAGGAGGTCCTGCCCTACCAGCACTTACAGTCAGAGCGGGCCAAAAGGAGGTGGCCTTAAGACCTGGAGCGAAAGCTCCATCTGTGCATCCCACCATGGCTTCCATGGTCATGGCTCTATCCCCATCTATCCCTGTCCCCATCCCCATCCCTTCTCCCATCCCCATCGATGTCCCCAACCCAGGTGGGGAACTACAAGCGCACAGTGAAGCGGATTGATGACGGACACCGGCTCTGCAATGACCTCATGAACTGTGTGCACGAGAGGGCCAAGATTGAGAAGTCCTACGCCCAGCAGCTCACTGACTGGTCCAAGAGGTGGAGACAGCTCATTGAGAAAGGTAGTGGGACACCTGGATGCCATGGGGGGGGGGGGGGTCTGAGCTGCGTGGGGGTGCTCACCCATCCCCTACACCCCCAGGCCCCCAGTATGGCAGCCTGGAGAGGGCGTGGGGTGCCATCATGACGGAGGCGGACAAGGTGAGCGAGCTGCACCAGGACGTGAAGAACAGCCTGCTGAATGATGACTTTGAGAAGGTGAAGAACTGGCAGAAGGACGCCTACCACAAGCAGATCATGGGGGGCTTCAAGGAGGCCAAGGAGGCTGAGGATGGCTTCCGGAAAGCGCAGAAACCCTGGGCCAAGAAGCTCAAGGAGGTGAGAGGAGAACCACGGCATGGCCATGCCTTGTCCCAACCCCAGCTCTACATCCAAGCTGGATATCACATTTCTGCAGGCAGAGGGGCAGGGTAGGAGCTGATCCTGGTAGTGTGGTGTCCTTGTTAATCCCACGTCCGTCCTCTCTTCTCCCCGTAGCTGGAGACAGCCAAGAAAGCTTACCACCTGGCCTGCAAGGAGGAGAAGCTGGCAATGACCCGGGAAGCCAACAGCAAAGCAGACCAGTCCAACACCCCCGAGCAGCAGAAGAAGCTCCAGGACAAAGTGGAAAAGTGCAAGCAGGATGTGCAAAAGGTGCGAGCCATCAGCACTGTGGTGCAGCTCCACTGCTGCCCCTGCTGCGGGCTCATGCAGCACAGGGCAGTGGAAATGGACACCACCACTTTGTCATCCCTGTTTATTCCCATTTCCCTGTCTCTGGTTAAGTGTACAAAAAGGTTACAGGCAGTAGTGAGTGCGAGAAGAGCAGAGATTTTACCTTCCCACTGGAGCAAGATCTCTCCTGCATCCTCATTTTTCCCTATGGAGGCTCCTAGCTCAAGAAGGGCTCCGCAGCATGGAGATCCAAGGGTCAGCCTGGCTCTGTGAGGGATCCAGGGGGCTCAAGGTGTAACCAGGCACCTCGTGTACCCTGCAGACTCAGGAGAAGTACGAGAAGGTTCTGGATGAGCTGAACAAGTGCACCCCACAGTACATGGAGAGCATGGAGCAGGTCTTTGAGCAGTGCCAGCAGTTTGAGGAGAAGAGGCTCAACTTCCTCAAGGAGGTGCTCCTGGATATCAAGAGGCACCTGAACTTGGCTGAGAGCAGCAGGTAGGTGCTCTCCCTGCTGTCTGGGCAGAAAGCACCCATGTGAGGTCTCCCTGTGCCTGAAGGACCAGGTGCTTCCCATCCCCTGCAGTACCAGGGAGTGGGCTCTGATCAACATGATGGTCACTGAGTGGCACCAGAGCGGTGTTCCCCAGTGCCTCCTGGGGTGTGGCACAAAATGGGCATCTTAGCATAGAATCGTGGAATCACTCAGGCTGGAAAAGACAGCCAAGATCACCAAGTCCAACCCCAACCTACCCCCAATTAAGCCTTCTAACCACGTCCCTCAGTGCCACATCTCCATGGTCCGTCTCTGGGGATGGTGACAGCACCACTTCCAGGGCAGCTGTGCCATTGCATCACCACTCTTTCCGCGAATAAACTTTTCCTAACATCCAACCTGAACCTCCCCATCCCACCATCCCACCCCCATCCTGTGGATCCACCCCCATGGCACCCCTCTTCCCACAGCTACGCCAACGTCTACCGGGAGCTGGAGCAGACCATCCGCCTCTCAGATGCTCAGGAGGATCTCCGGTGGTTCCGCAGCACCAGTGGCCCTGGCATGCCCATGAACTGGCCCCAGTTTGAGGTGAGGCTCAGCCCCCCCTGTGGTTGGGACCCACGTCCCAGCAGCTGAGTGCTGAGAGCCTCATGCCTTGTGCCTCCAGGAGTGGAACCCGGACCTGACGCACACGATAACGCGCAAGGAGAAGATGAAGAAGGGTGAAGGGGTGACTCTGACCAATGCCAGCAGCACGGGCGAGAGCGGGGCGTCAGCAGGAGAGCGCGGGAGGTGAGTGCCATCGGGGTGCTGCAGCCCGCTCCTAGCACTGGGGAACGCATGGGATTTGCCTGTGCAAACACTCCTGCTGTCACTTTGGGGCGGATGAGATGTCCTTGTGGCAGACCTGCTCCATCCTCCCATGGGCAGTGCTGTTAGCTGGGGTCCTGCTTGCTGCATCTTGGGAAGCCCCCCGGCTCAGGGTGCCTGCCCATCCCAGATCTTCTCTCCCTCTCATCCCAGCGTCAGCAGCCACGACCGTGGGCAGACCTACAGCGCCGAGTGGTCTGATGACGAGGGCAGCAACTCCTTCAATGCCAGCGAGGCCAACGGTGGAACCAACCCCTTTGATGAGGACTCGGCAGGGAAAGGCGTGCGGGTGCGGGCGCTGTACGACTACGATGGGCAGGAGCAGGACGAGCTCAGCTTCAAAGCAGGTGATGGGATGTCCCACGCGCGATTCCCCTTTTGGGTGGAAAATCCACTAAATCGTGTCAGAGTTGCCCCAGCTCTTTGGCAGAGAGAATCATTAAGGTTGGAAGAGCCCTCCAAGTCCAACCTTCAGCCCGTCACACTGAGAGGGGAAGGCACAACACTGAGTGGGATGGGAGGGATGGGGCACAGGAGGAATCATAGGACACTCTTTGCATTCGTGCCCCGCAAACCTCACTCAGCATGAACCCCACACCCCAGAGGACGCTCCAACAGCAAGCTCTCCCTTCCTCCCTTGTCCTCCAGGGGACGAGCTAACCAAGCTGGGTGAAGAAGATGAGCAGGGATGGTGCAAAGGGCGCTTGGACAACGGGCAGCTGGGGCTGTACCCCGCCAACTACGTGGAGGCAATCTGAGTCTTGTGCTGTGCTCCTCGTCGCCGTCTGCAGATCAACCCGCCCTCCGTTGTCTCCATTCTCCGCCAGCCCACCGCCATCGCTCCGTCTGCTCCGTCACTCCTCCCTCTTAGAGATTCAGACATATTTTCCGACCGAGCTTTTATTTTTTTAAGAGTTGTCTCCGAAGAGTATTTTGCATAGTCGCTTTTTTCTTCTTCTAAGATAACGTGAAGCGAAAGACGACGCCGTCCGTTCCGCGCTAGCTGATTTTTCCCAGCGAAAATCCGATACCTCAAGATCTTAAAGCCCAACCAGCGACAGCTCCTCCTTGGTTGGTTTTTAAAGATACTGAACTCATGAGCCGCCTTCTGATTGGCTGGAACTGTTCCGAAACGCACGGCGCTGGTCTCCTGGGACCAACCTGATTCGCCCCTCTCTGAAAAGAAAAAGAGAGGCAATGGGGTTTTGCACCTTTTATTTTATAACGTTTTCACGTTCTCTGCTCCGATTCCTCCTCCATCCCAAAAGGAAGGGCACAGACGTCCCCTCCTGCCCCACAGCCACCTCTCCCCATCGGGGGGGAAGAGGAGCAGCCCCACCACAGAGCGTGGTGGCACCTCTCCATCTTGCTCCTCCTCCTCTCCGCCCAGAGCTGTGCCCTGGGTGCTCTGCAAGGAGCAGCGCTCTGTGAGGGCGAAGCACATCCCAAAATGTCTCTTCTTGGCCAAGGACCCCACCACAGCCCCACACAGCCAAACTGGGAGAGAGTGGGGACCCTCTGGGTGCTGCTGGGAGGTTGTCCTCTGACCCCTTCCAGAGGTCCTGCAGGGGGAGAGAAACTGCAGCCGCGCTCGCTCCGTTCCTTCACCCGCACTCTGTGTAGAGCTCAGCCCCCCAGCACCCATGGGTGCTCCCGCAT